TCAGAGGAGGGGGTGAGTCGGAGTTGGATATCCAACTACGTGTTGCCGAGACCGAGCATAAGCTGCTGATGAAGCTAGAGGAGACCGAGAAGGTAGGCGGCAAGGGTACTCGCTGCTCGAGCCGTGAATTTGGTGCACATTGCTGTGCCCTGCAGGATCTAGCCCAAGAGAGAACGGCCAGTTCGGCGCTGACCAATCGAATACATGAGCTGGAAGCGAGAGAGGCAGAGCTTGTACGCCAACTGGAGGAGCAGAAAGTAAGCACAGGGATAGGCTTACCTTAGTCGCTTTGCAAGGTCTCTCGCGCGGAGGTCGAAAGGCGGGCGGCTGAAGTGGATCAGCTTGTCGAGGAGCGTCAGGTGCTACTACGTTCATACTAGGCGAGCGGATTGCTTAATCTCGCCAACCTAGGCACTGGTGGCGAGGATAGAGGACATAGAGGCCACTGCAGGTTCGGCTGCGGCCCAGGGAGTAATTGGCTCACCTACTCAGATGGTGAGCCTCCTTCTTCTTCCTCCTCATCGTCTACTGATAGGGATGATAGAAGCTGCGGATTATTTGATTTGAACTTGCACTTTCCTCGTTATCGAGGTTTCAATGCTCAATCCGACTCATTTCAGTCGATTGTACAGAGAAGTGAGCAGTCGCTGGTAGCTGGGCGTGGTGACTCAGACTTGTCAAGGTGAGTAGAGCTGGCTTACAAACCTAGGCAGCCTGTATGCGACTGTAGCTTCCGGTAGAGATACCATCGGAATCAGCTCGCTACTGTTAAATTCGCTAACTAGTAGAGAAATCTGATAGTCTCACCGGTGTTTTGAAGCAGGCTAGAATTCAGTGATGATGTGACTCACATGAGTCTGACTTAGCAGGATTTGATGGTCATGGGAAGAAGTTGTGATCAGGTCTCGAGTTACTCCTGGTACCCTGGCCTTCTATCCCAACAATCTCTCGTCGTATCTTACCCTATCACTAGACGGTATGAGAGTTGAGTATGACTGTGATACTGCAGCTAAGGACGAGGCCATGTGCGGTGTTGTCATGACTGATCGGCCTCTGCCTTATGATACATCCTTTGGGTAAACAGGGACTTCAGCGTAAGCAATCTGGTCATATCAGTTCTCTGCGAGGTATTACTTCGAAGTCACCATTGAAGCACGCGCTGTAGAGTCGTCGAAGTTTTCAGGATGGTCTCACAGTTGGCGTGACGACGACACGACCTGAGAGGTGAGCAGTAGAGCTCTGCTATCATCGATGGGAT